TTGTTAGAAGTCCCAGGATAATTTAAATAATTTAACTGACAGTATTTGTAATCGATCTTTGGATAATTGATTTATATTATCACTGCTTTCAATTAACACTTGTCTGAGTTCGAGTCCCGGCGTGAACATTAATTCCGGGATGCAGGTATATTCAGATAAAGAGTCCCAAACAGGACGAAACACGCTTTCCGGATTCCACCGGTAGTCACCATCATCCCTACCTATAGTGATTGTGACTTAATGTCAATATCGAGGTAATCTGCACAGGATGAACATATGTCTATAAGAGAGTGATCAATTGCCGTCGTGAACATCAATATGAAGATTTAAACAACCAATGCAAAAATAAATTAAAACTCTTTTTTTCTCTATAATGCAGTCCAATCAAACTTTCAGTGAACAGAAAGCTTGGAATAGTAAGTCATGTTGTCTATGTTGTGAATTCCTTAATGTTTGTCAAATTTTATCAATCAATGTAAATTGTTGCCATTATTCTTAGTGGTTTGATAAATTGGTAAATTTTATGAGAAATTAGATGATTTTAGATAGTTATGAGGTAACTTTAAACATAAATTTATTGTTTATCTAGACTAATTAGCTTAATGTGTCCGAATATGTGCAATAATTAGTACTTATCAAGAGATTTGTGCTCATGTCACTTATCGTTATAGGCAGAAACATTCAACTATATAGTCCCCCCCTAGTGACGTTCTATAAGATTAAGATAATTACATAAATTTCCCACTAGCTAAAAGGCAATATAATATTGTCTAATCCTTACAAGAGATTACCAGCTAACACGAAATCTATGTCGAAAAAAATCACTGTATATTACGTTTAGTCAATTAACAAACCTTAATAACGTTGGATCAGTATTATTAAATTGGTCCACCAAGGTGCTTGGTACCTGTGTGGTTGTGCCACAGGATTGAGCTGTACTAATCACATTGCAGCGTTAAAGCCTATACAGTGTCTGGTTCTCCTGTTAGACGGGGTTGAGCTGTACTGTTTGGGTTGTCACGTGAAAGTCCAGATGATGTCTGGTTCTCCTGAAAACCAATGTATAATTACCCTGACCCATAAGGGTATATTATATAACTGTGAATATTATTAAATAATCATTCAGTTAGAGTATGTCTATTATTATAATGTAACATACACTAGAAGGTTTAGTTGTTATTTTAAATATATCCATTATGTTATCAGTTCAACAGATAAGTTAATTGTAAACGAGTTCATTTCAAAATCTTTGTACTACAATCATCAACTTTATCTTTCTTTCTTTCCTTATTTCTTTCTTCATAGATCTATCTACATATATTTTACAAAACTAAATGTAATGTGTTAAAATTTCTATCGAATCTATACAAATGAACACATTCTTCGTCACCATGGCAACATTCATCCATGACACACACACACACCCACAAATATATTGACATGTTTTAACTAAATCAAGTTTTTTTTTAAATTCTTCTTAAGAAAAAAACATACTTATCTGATTGAAAGCAACAATTAACTAGTTTAGTTATGTTTAAGTATTAATACATTCTTTATTTATAATAGAATATCTTGTCCATTTATTACGTTACTTTCAGATTAGTAGTTCATTCCGGAAATACCTTATCAATGACATTGAATCATTTTAAACAACAACAACAACAATGTAATCATAACAAGTTATGAAATGAGGAATAGTATAATATATTTATTGATTATTAAATTAAAAGAAGGAATTGAGAGAAGTTTCTTAGATTCTATGTTTATTTATGCTTATCAACCACTATTGACTATTAAACATTCAATAAGGATATACTGAACTTTCTATTCTAGTGAATTTATTACTTCTGGTCACATTCTCATTTGTTTTTCTTTCTTACTTTCTTTTTTGTTTTTCTCTTTTTTTATTAAAAAGATAATAATTTAAACCCCCTTAAATTAATCTCAATTGATTGAATAATATTTCCGGAGTTGAAATAAGTAGTTTTTTACTCATTGTTATAGTTGTGTTTCTTCTGATTATTTTTTTTTCTTTTTTTAGGGGGGGGGGTATGTTGAGGATAAACTACACACTTTACTCATTTTTGAATTAGATGTCAACTACTTCCGGTTTATAAGAGAAGAATGTTGTATCTCTTTACTACTCTTGTATTTCAATGAATAATGAGGTAGAATTGAATGTTGTGGATTTCTTTTAAAAGCTATTTTATAATTGTTATTAATATATAATATGGAAAAGAAAAAGGATACACAGTTAAATGGATGATATATCTTAATTCACAGAAGTATATAAACTGAAAAATATGATTTGAGATAGTTCTAAGTACCAATTTATCTTCAAGGAATTCACTAATCAGGTGGTCCATAGAAAAGACAATCGGAAGCTCTATAGAATGAGATGTTTTTTTTCTCTGTCTATCTAGACAATTGATATTTTGAAATCACTATTTGTGTCCCCCCCCCCTTTAAATCTTTTTTCTTTGTACTATAAATGATCTTCTGGTTTAGTCTCTGGTGTTTTTAAATCTTCTCAAGCAATTTATCATTTTGGATTAATATTTATTTAATAAATTTCAGTCTTTAATTCGTTTACATCTAGTCTGAATTTATATCATGACCTGGATTGGGAGTATATATAGAAGTGTGTACGAGAGCATTCAAAATAGAGAAGTAGAGATTAAAAAAGACTCAACGATTCCACAATTACTTAACGTTGATTGTGATAACTGTCTGTAAAAACTTAATATATCCTCTTTGTTCAACTTTACATTTCATGTTCATATGCCTTATAAACAGTCGATAAAAACTTGATGAAGTACCGATTAAGGGAGAATGAAAAAGCAGAACAAGTTCTCAATAATGTTTGATCTTAAACAGAATTTGAAATGTAGCTCAAAATAAAAGATAATATTGTATACATCTGTTATATCAAAAGGTAAACTGAAATTAATATTCAGTGAATAAGTTAAACTCCATGTTCAATAGATTAGTAATATTGCTCAGCTATTTTATTCAATTGCATTTTATAAACATTTGAGTATCAAGAGTTTTACCAGTACTACAAGTACGATGTATTGTACTTATGTCGACAGACATAGGTAGTATGTAACACCAATCAGAAGTGAAATACCTGACATCAGAAGGTTAAGTTGAAGAGAGTAGGAATGAAGTCATGATGAGGTTTGTAAGAGACAATTGATTGAAAATGTTCAAATGAAGTATTTAATGTATGATTTTCATATTTTATGAAATCACCCTACAATTGTGCACTAAACAATAAATTGGTCTTCCCCATCCGAGTTTTCGTTTACTATACTTGTAGTCAGATTTTTATTTACTAAAAATTTTTAAGGCTATCAAAATCAGCACATATATATAGAGTCTTCCTGTGTTGTCTCTTAATGATGAATGAACAAATAGTTTACTTGTTGTTTAGTCTTACTAATAAGTAGTAATAACGGAAAAACATATAAAACTGATTCACTTGGTATTGTTTTGCTTGAATCTCCCTATTGAGGTTTGAGACTACAATTGATCAGTCTGTTATTGGCACATGTGCATACTATGCGTATTGCCTCGATATAGCCTTAATTCAGAAGCTTTATAAGCAAATATGGTTAGTGGCTAGCAGTGGAATCCAAGAGGCGCGTTTCGTCCTGTTTGGGGCTCATCAGCTGGGTGTACCTGCATCTCAAAGTTGATGTTCACTCTGGGACTTGAACCCAGTATCATTCGCTTCAAACGCCATTGCGTTATCCACTCAGCTACTCAGTCCTAATAGCCATCTGTTTGTGCGATGGGGTGAACTTAAATTCACTTGGTATTATTTGGCTTGAATCTTCCTATTGAGGTTTAAGACAGCAATTGATCAGTCGGCTATTGGCACTGAACCTATTCTATGAACTGAATAATAGAATTACTGATAAACAATCGTTAAAATATCCTTAACGTTAACTAACATACATATTTTCATGATTTCAGTTACTACCAATTAGTTATCAATCATCATCTTATTAAGCTTTTGACTGAGATCATGAACCGATTGATGTGAGACCACCACCTTTGGAAACCTGGAAGCACTGGGTGGCCGTTTCGTCCCATAGTGGGACTCCTCAGCAGTGCGCATCCACGATCCCGCTCTCGGGATTTGAACCCAGGGCCTTCGGTCTCGCGCGCGAACACTTAACCAACTGGACCACTGAGCCGGCATTCAATGGTGATAGTGTCTAACTTCAACTAATCCACGAAATTGAGCGACCAACTTCCGTTATACTATTATTATTATTTTCCAATACGTTTAGTTACATAATTTACATTTATCTTATTACTGACTCGGAAATCATCATAATTGGTTTAAAGTTATACAACATACAAGTATATTTTAGAAAAAAAATGTTTTTAAGGAAAATTTAATTGGAAACAATCTTGTTTGCTTGAAATCTCTTAATTTGATTGGTTAATCACCTCCTTGTTTTCTATTGGTCAATTAACTGTCAACAATTGAAGTATTTATTCCTATGTTATTCATCCTATCTATCCTAAGAAAGATTTTTAGAATTTCTTTTCATTCAACAAACATATCAATAAAATTGGATATAAGTTGTTTTACTTTTTGTCTGTTTGTTTGTTCGCTTGTATATGTGGAGGGGCTAATGGATTATTTCTCTATCAAATGTGTTCTCAATAATTTATGCAATCTTATTTGTTAATTTATTTGTTTACCTAATTGCAACATAGTGTTAAATGAAATTAGGATGTTCTATGTAAGCAAAGAATAAATCCTGGCCGAATTAAATAATTGTGTAACACTAAATCAATATTCATTATACAGATATCCTATTATTATTACTACTGCTACTACTGCTACTACTACTACTACCATTACTAATATCACTAATAACGCTGTGAAGAATCATATCAGTAATTATAAATGTTGTAGAATACATCATTCACAATATACAGTATTCAAAGAGAAACCTATAAATAATTGCTGGCAATATGCCAATCCTAATCTAAATGAAATCAATGAAGAAAATGAAGATTTCGAATATATGTCGAATAATAAGCATATTAAACATTATCCATATAGACATGACCATAATGATGAGACAAGCGATATGGATACAGAAGGAACACAAGGAGAATTGGAAATGGAGACGAAGGAGAAAGAAATTAAACAACAATATAATCAATTCGATGTTAGTTCTGGTGACAGTACTAGTTTAAGTTATTCTGAAGGAAAGAATGTCTTAGATTTAAGACAATCTAATACAATGCCATATTCACTTCCATTACCAGTTCTTGTACCGATACCTATTATTACTCCTTATATGACTAGAACATATCCAAATGTAACAATGAATTCGTCTAAATGTTGTTCAACTATTGAAAATCATTCTAGTGAAGCAGATTCATTGTCTTCCAATCAATTAGTGGTAAGTTTTTCAGTGGATAATTATCTTCCTCTTTTTCTATTTAAAATTAAACATTGTATTTACATGTTTTGAAATTGTGTTGGCCGACAAAGAAACCTGTACCTAGTTTTTTGTTCTATTTAGCACTCATCAACAAACTATATCTGCAATCTTGAGGGAATCGATAATCTCTGTAGGATTTCAGTACTGACAGAGAGATTACCACTGAGTTATTTGGGCTGTAGCTCTAGTAAGTTGACTGATCATAAAGCTTCAGTTTCTGTATGATTCTATGTGTGGATTACTGACGACTGACAACTAGCATAAAATTTATTTTCAAGGTTTTCTGACTATCATTTCCCAGCAAGAAACATCAAAACATAATGCACCTGATGTCGACTCACTCAAACTGATTGTTACATTCCAACTTGATCAATAAAATTCTATCAGGTTGAAATCATGGAAGCACCAGGTTTTCCATGGTGGTCTAGCTTCAATCGACTCATGATTTCAACCTGTGAAATTTCTAAAACTCTCCACAAAACCCATTCTGATAAAATTCTATCAGCATTAAAAAGACTAGAAAAATATGATATTGATCTCTACTCACAGTACATTCAAAACTGTCTAGTGTAAATCTTAACCTTACATTACGTTAATCTCGGGACATTTATTAGAATAGTTAAAAAGTGTTATTTTACCTTTTTCTATATGTAAATCAATATTTTCATATGTAGTTCAATTTAATATGATAAACTTATTAAATTGCCAATTATGTTCTCACAAAGACTTAAGTTGTTATACAGTAGAAAGTTGATGGTTGACAATAGAGTAACTTTTGGCTTTAAATGTTATTTTTTTAATATTTAAACGATTACCACATGTACAGATATTTCTAGATAGCTAATTCTGTTCCCATTTTGTACTCTAAAACAGTACAATAGAATTCAGGACCTTTAGGTTTCGTAGAGTACATAATAAAATTGATCTATTGAATTAGAATTCAATGATTATTACAATCAATTCATATCTTATGATTATGATCAAATATCATCAATGAACATTTGGTTCATTCGTTACTTACTTACTTACTTACTTACTGGTTAGCGTTTTTTTAGCGAGTTAGTTTTCTACGGGATAAGGTCGCTAACCCCATAATCTTTCTATTACATCATCTTGGTTATTCGTGTTCACATTTCTTCACAGAACTAGTACTTTAACAAAACATTTTCACATATATACAGTAGTACAGCTTGATAATCAATTCGTTGGAAAGAGATTCCTTCACTGAACTTCATTTTTTTAAATTTTTAATGTTTAAATTGGAATTAACTGTCAATTTAGAGTTCAACCGGGTCAGTTGTGAGATAGTAACTCACTGCTGACAATAGTGGATGTGTTGCTCGATTTCGTAGATTAGTTGAAGTGTGACTTTAACACCTTTGGATGCCGGCCTAATGGTCTAGTGGTTAAGCGCTCGCACGCGAGACTGATATATCCTGGGTTCGAATCTGGCAGCGCGGGGTCGTGGATGCTCACTGCTGAGTCCCAAAATAGGACGAAATGGCCGTCCAGTGCTTATCACACACACTTACTTCACTTACCTTTTATGTTTTCTAAATATCGTTAGAACTATATGCTCAGTTATCAATGGCACATTGTCAGCTACGTAATCACAGTTTACTCTGATAATACTTCGACAAATATGCGAATTGGTTGAAATCGAAATTGCATCATTAGGTGTAGATGTCGAAGTTCTATTGGGTTAGAATATCTGACGCAAGACCTATATTTCACGAGTTCCATTGAAGGTGAGATTATGAGTGTGGGTTGATGAGGAGGCTCATACCAGGACGAAATAGATTTCCAATTACCTCTGGTTCTTGACAGTAGCTTAACTGAGGTCACTCTTTAACAAACATAACGTGCATGATAGTTTATTATTTATAGATGACTTTAAAACTTTGGAAAGAAACATGTTGAGAATAACTTCTTTTCCTGGAACTGATAATATAGGTTGTTCATTTTTTCTCATATAACATATGTATAACCAAACTAAAAACCTGTCACTTACTGTCACACATACAACGAAATTATCCATGTTTGACTATACATATGTTCCTCATCACTCTCACAAATTAACTCAAATCTATATAATTGTATAATATATGCATATTTGACAAAGAGCTCAATTCCATCGAGTCTCTCTCTCTCACTTTCTCTTCAAGTTTGTATCAGCCCCTATCAAAGAAAAAAATTAGTCAACACTTTCTTAGCATCATATAAAAGTACAAGTGACAAACAAAGTAAGAGAGAGAGAGAGGAAAAGAAAACAAAGTACATAACTGTTAATTTACCAGTAACTAATCAGTTACATACTGATTTAAGAAAGTGACCATAGAATTTAAGAAAAAAAAATTTCTCTTAATACTTTATGTGATTATTTAATCTTTTAATGTAACATTTCTTTATTTACTTTTATGCTCTATCATATGGTTGTTATTGTTGTTGTTGGCAGAATAGTTAAATTTCTCTGAATCCAACGTATGTTTAAGTAACGCCCACTTAAGTGTATTAGAAACAGACACACATATATATATATATATATATCACAAGCACTTAATTGTATCTATTTGTTGCTTTTAAAAAAAATTAATTGTACGTATTTCAATTATTGATTATGTCATTTTGAAGTTGAGTTAAAAGTTTTGGGGAGAAGATAAAGTACTCCATCACCACCACCACCACCACCACCACTACCACCATCATCATCATCACCCCCGTTCTCCAATTAGTTGTCTAGTGAAGTTAAATTCAATCATAGTATATTTGTTTTAGTAGAATTCATGGAATGTAGTAAACACAAAGGAGAGATTGTAATAATTTAAATGGAGAAAGAATATGGAAAGGTTAAACAATATTTTTCACACCATATTTTTCTTTCTTTGTGTATTTATTCTCCTATGATATACTATTGAATGTGGAAAAGTTTGAATAAATGAATGGATACTTAAATTGATCGTTGATTCAACCAATGAATTAGTCTGTGTTGTATAGATCAATGACTTCAGGATTCATGTTAAGTTAAAGTTGATAATATAATGATAAAATGGAATGATATCTTGTCAATCATTTATATTTTGTTTGGTCAGTGTGATAGTTCAGGATTGGAACGACCTATATGAACCTGTATGAATTTTCCACTATTTCTCGGTCAATTAGAAACCAATGTTACCAAATATAAAATTGATTTCACATATTTTAAGAAATCTATTCAAATCTTCTACAAGCTATTCTGTTATTGGGTCGAAAAAATAACGATTCATAGATTTGTACTTGTGGATATGGATTATCCGTCTCCTCGAGCCTTTATAAGGATCCCAATAGAATTTTAAGAGTTCCAGAGTTGCTCGTGGTTAGAATTAGGTGTTTGAGGAAAGGATTAGATATTTACGATTACAGTTTTGTTAATGAACTTACACTAACTATAATATAAAGGTATATTGCGCCGGCGGAAACTTGGAGAACTACGAAAGTCATCGTTCAGAAGATACAAGTGCTTATTAACAGTTACGCAAAATACTTCGGATCCTTTAGCCAGACACTATCAGCAACAACCTACTATGGGAGAGAGCGAACCAGATCCCAACGGAGGAAGAAATCGGGAAGAAGCGCTGGAAATGGAAGAAGACAAAAGAACACATTACGCAGAGAAATAGGGACAGACATAAGAAGAATGAACAGCATTTGGGTAGAACTGGAAAGGAAGGCCCAGGACAGAGTGGGTTGGAGAATTCTGGTCGGCGGCCTATGCTCCATTAGGAGTAGCAGGCGTGAGTAAGTAAGTAACGTATTGTGCCCGAATTGGATGAGGGAACGTTGTGCAGGAACGCAGGAGGCAATATCTCATTAGTTTTTCCATAGGATGAAGTATGCTCAGGTTACAGGTTTCTTCAGGATTTAGGGTTTATGATTGATATAGTGTCGATTTATTATAATATACAGTCTGCAGAGGCAGAATTGTGTATGGGATGAGTTTGAAACTCCCATTTTCACTCTATAGAGACGAAAAAATCCTCCACAATTATTTAAAACGCATTCAGTAGTACAAAAGGGCATTTCTCCTTATTGTTATACTCTATATTTCAACTCGGCGCAAAAGCCTAAAAGTTACATCCACGACCCTAATTGGTTTCTTTGTATGTTGTAATATATTTCATCTTTCTGCTCATGAAACCTGTTCACTGGTTTTTGGTGACACCTTTATTGAATCTTCTAGTGTATTGTTCTGATATCTTGAGATGTGTCATCAGTGGTATAGAGGTACAACATCTATAATTCTCATTATTTATTGAAGGCTTAGTACGACATGAAACATTGAGCTAGAAATAAGCGTTTCATTATTTCAGCTTTTCAATCTGATCAGTTGTGTTCATCTGTTTTTCTCAACATCTTGTTCTTTTTCTGCAATGACTTTTCATCAAAATGTGTATAAATACATTTCACAATTGGCCACTTTCTCACAACATACGCTGATATTATTATGCAATACAAACTGCCTTCAAAAGCATAACTCATAGTTTTCACTGCATTACAATTTATTGATCTAAAGATATTGTGCTCATTGTGAAACATGAATTTCTCAGGTTCGATCCTTAGTAAGGTTATGGATTGACACTTCTGAAGATTCCCAAGTTAAAATTAGACAGATTTCCAGTACAACCTCGATTTTTTTTAGTTCTACTCTAATCCTTTTAAATGATTACTAGTATAGGGGTTGTGGAGATTATTAGGTTTTTGATTGAGATCATGAACCGATTGATGTTAGACCGTCACAATTGAAAACCTGGAAGCACTGGACGGCCGTTTCGTCCTATTGTGGGACTCCTCAGCAGTGCGCATCCACGATCCCGCGAGTGGGATTCGAACCCAGGGCCTTCGTGGATTGGTTGATGTTAGAAACTGTCACCATTGGATGCCGGCTCAGTGGTCCAGTTGGTTAAGGGTTCGCGCGCAAGACC